ATTACAGGACACTCAATACCTTCTATAGCCTCTCCATGCACACACAGGCCCATGCAGTCTCATACACTGACATACCCAAATAAATATATCAGTCCTTAAAATCAAAACGAAAACCAAGCCTGAAATGGTGGCACATGCCTATAATACTAGAACTTAGGAAGAAGAGACAGGAAGATCAGTAATTCAAGGATATTCTTGACTACATATTGAGTTCAAAGGCTAGCCTGCACTACAAAAAGCTGTTTCCAGAAGTGAAGAGAAGGATTCCAAAATGATGCTGACCTTTTTTCTAACAGAATAAATAAAAAGGTAAGCACCAAAGTTGATTCTTGGAAAAAAGAGAACCCTTTGTTCCACTGAATACACGAAACACACCATTTTATTATACTTATATGAAGCGGAGTTCAAGTTTAATAAAGACATTTTAACACAGTCTTAAGCACAAGGGTTAAGAAAAAAAATGACATATCTGAGAAAAGAAGATGCACCCAAGAGCACACAGGTGTGGGCTTTTCTAAGATAGTCACAGCAAGTACCACATACCACCTCAAGAAAGATTCACCCAGATACACAAGTTTATTTTTTTAATGTATGTGTGTCTGAGTGTATGCATGTGTACCACATGCACGCACGAGCCTGAGGACATCAGAAGAGGTTGTCATATCCTCCAAAACTGAAGTTACAGGCTGTTGTAGACTGCCTTGTGGGTGCCAGGAATCTATCGATTTGACAGAACTTAGAATCACCTGAGAGATGGACCTCTGGGCAGGCATACCTACGGGGGGGGGGGGGGGGTATTTAGACTACACTGTTAATTGATGTGGAAAGACTCATTTTACTGGAGCAAGAACATTTCCTAGACAAGATTCCTAGACTACATAAAATAGAACAAGCTGAAACTTACAGGCATGCATCTATCCCTCTCTTTTTCTGACTGTGCATGCAATGTGACCAGCCTGCTTTTTTGTTTTGTTTTTGTTTTTCCAGACAGGGTTTCTCTGTGTATCCTTGGCTATCCTGGACTCACTTTGTAGACGAGGCTACTTGCCTCCGCCTCCCAAGTGTTGGGGTTAAAGGCGTGTACCACTGCATCTAGCTAGACCAGTCTACTTAAAGCTCCTACCTCTCTTGCCATGACACTTTACTTTGAACTATGAACTAAAATAAGCCCTTTCTCCCTTAGGTTGCTTTTTCTTTTCAAGATTTATTTATGTGGATGTTTTGCCTGCATGTATGCATATTCGTGCACCGTGGGTACCTGGTGCCCATGGAGGTCAGAAAAGGGCAACAGATTCCCTGGAATGAGGGTTTACAGATTGTTGTGGGCCATCATGTGGTGATGGGCATCAAACCTGGGTCCCACGAAAGCGCAACAAGTGCTCCTAACTGCTGAGCTATCTTTCCAGTCCCCTTGGGTTGCTTTTCTCGGAATGTTTTCTCAAAGAACAAGAAACATTCAGATTTGTTGAGACGCTATCTCTAAATAAATAAACCGGTGACAGCAACTGAGGGTGATATCTAACCTCAACCTGTGACCTCTTTGCAATTACACACGTGTGTGCGCCCACTATTGAACATGAAAACCATACATATAACATTTCAAAAACAAAGCATTTTTTAAGTTTTGGTTTTCAGACAAGGTTTTACTCTGTAGTTCTGACTGTCCAGAGCACTGGGATTAAAGAGACGCACTACCCTTAACTGCTGGTGAACTGTTCGGCCCCTGATAATCTGAGTTTAAACCCCAAGACAACTTGGTAAAATGAAAGAACTGACCTAAGTTCTCCTCTCACCTCCACACATGAGCCATGGCAAACATCCACCCATCCTCAAGCATGCATATATACACAAACAAACAAACAATAAGTGACATTTTTAAGAGAATGAGCCAGGTATGGTAGCACATAACTACAATCCCAGCACTCAGAAAGCTGAGAGACAATTGTTGTCAGGAATCTGCCTGAGGCCAGTAACTTCTACACCAGCCCTGGAAAGAGAATATTTCAGTATATAACAGACAAGACAGTCTCTTGAAAGAGTAAAACTGAGCATATAGAACTAGCTAGGAATAGTAGTGCAAGCCTGTAACCTCAACACTTGGAAGGCCAAGGCAAGATAATTTCAAATTCAGGGCTAATGTGGGTACAGAGCAAGTTTATGTAGAAAGAAAGCACAGGCCAGCACAAAGGGACAAAGTAAGAGGTTAGGGAAGGAAAGGAGGTAAGGAAAAGAGAAAAGAAAAGGGAGAGAGAAAAGAAAAGAGGAAGAGAGGAGCTAACCAGGTTAAGTTCTGAGAGGAAGACATTATATGGCAAGAGAGCAATGTGAGAAAAACCATCTTCCAGGCCTGGGTTAAAGGAGGAAAGATGGTGTGGCAGGGACCTGAAAGGGAAGAGTGGCTGGTGAAAGGATTTATCAGCATTTGAAACTGGCCCAAATTTATTTAAAACTCTGCCTTTCCTTAAGCATTTTATTTGCTGTTGTTTGGTGCTGGTGGTAACTTGCAGTGCTGGGGAATAAACCAGATCAAATTCCAGGCAGGCACTTCACCACTGAGCTTCACTCCAGTTCCTCAGCCGATTCTAACGGGAGTCACTAAAACAGCAAACTAAGCACACACACACGTCAAATAAAAGCCAGAAAAGTAGAGTGTATTCAAATTAACTACAACCATTATGACAGCGATTACAACTCTGCCTCCTCCCAGGTAATTTCTGCAAGCAAGAGATTACAGCACCTCACAGGCTCCTTAACATCCTCATTATTCCCATACCTCCCTACATTTCCACAAAGGTACCCAGAACTAACTTCACACTCTAGAGATGAACAATTACCATGCTTTCCAATTACCCTTCTTGTAAATATCCTCCTGAGCATGTCTGCTGTAAAAGCACGCTCTCATTCTCTGGGTTAAAGTCACTCAGCATTCAGAAAGAGAATTAAGCAGAATCCCCTCTATGTACCGGCCTGGAAGCCTGAACCTGTAGGTAGAGGCAAAACAGCTTATCATCTTACATTAGTGCTGATGATGAAGTAGTTTATGTTTGTGGTTTGGGAAGCGGTGCATCTAGCATTTCATCAGTGTTCTCAATTCTCAGGTCAGGAGTCTACCCAAACGTTTCATTATGGAGATTTGACAGATGTAACTAAAATGTATGAACTTTAAAGAAACTCAGTGAAGAGCCCATTTTTAAAGTCATTTACTTAAGAAATAAATATAAGCTGGGCGGTGGTGGTGCCTGCCTTTGATCCCAGCACTCAGGAGGCAGAGGCAGGCAGATCTCTGTGAATTTGAGGCCAGCCTGGTCTATAGAGCAAGTTCCAGGTCAGCCAGGACTACAGAGAAACCCTGTCAAAAAATAAAAAGATAAAAAAAAGAAGAAAGAAAAAGATAAATAAAACAGAGCCTAGCAGTTTTATTTTCTGATTCTGCAAACTGTGACAGATGGTTTTCTTGGAATGTGTGACCCTGGAGTTTAAGGTTGGAGGGAGCATGTCTTTTTATCAGAGGTGATAGGCCACACTGGGCCTGCTACTAACCTCCGTGTGTATGTGGCTCGCTTTCTCCCAATTGCATTCACGCCACGGCAAAAGCCCTGTATCAGCACATTCAAATGGCAAGCAACTCTTTTATATAAAGACTATAAAGAAACTAACAGAAATTCTCATCTTTTCCTCACCCCTTTCTCTCCATGTATATTTAAACACATACTTTTGAAATAAAGTCAGTTTTGTCTGGCAAATTCAATGTCATTCCTCTGAGATAGGTGGACTGCAAAATCTCAAGTAGAAAACACCACTATAATCAAGATTCTTTTTTAAAGGATCATTTACTTGAATGCAGAGGCACATCCAGCAAAATAAAACTTAATAAAATAAATAAAACTTATAAATGGTGCTGCCTATTTAATGTTAGGAAACGAGCCGCCGAACAAATCTCACATTCTTCAACAGTGTCATGTATTTTTTTGACAAACAACACGTGGTTCCTTCAACAATTAGTCTCCTACAGTCACCATGTATTTAACTAGGTGTACCAGATGCCTGGGAAGCAAAAACAAGGATGACATTTTGACTGCCGAAGAAAAGTTCTCCGGTACTAATGCCAATGCACTCAGCCTGAAAGCTAAAATCCTTAACTTGCTCAAAAAGCTAGAGGATCATTTACAGCCCAGTGTTTACAGCTCACACACTCAGGTGAGAGTACAAAGGTCACTGCTCAGGTGTTCGAGCTAAGAGCCAGCCAAGTGCACTTGTAACCTGCAGTATGCAAAGCAAAGGACAGGAAAGTGTTGCAACACTCACCCACACCTACTCAACCCCGCCCCCCAGTCATCTTTATAAATAGAGGAGTCTCTAAGGGAACTGTCCAAGGTTACCACCTGATACGAAGGAATGCCTTGGTGAGGAACATTAATAAAGCAAATGAGTGTACTTTATGGATTTACTAGGCACTGATATTCGACATCTAAGTGGCTGACAAAGCGTTAAGCAAGGTGCATGAGGCAGAAGACTTCCTTCTCAAGAGGGTTTAAATGTCAAGAAAAAAAAAATGACCGAAAGAGGGAGATCTCTAACTTCCCGAAGCAGCAGCAGCCCCCTGGAAAGGATATTGAAGCCAGCGGAACTCACACGGGCAGGACAGTACCGGACCCCTCCCCAATGCTAAAAGTTTGAACCCGCATCCGACTATTCTACGGTGGTCGGAAACTTCCCTAAACAAGAAGCAACCAGACACCCTCAAGTCTCCGCCCCGGGGCAGCCCCAGGTGTCCTCCTGCCAAGGGTGTCGCTTCCTCCCCGGGACTTCCCTCCCACTTCATCCCTCTCCTGGACACTCGCTGGCCTGCCCAGGCTTCCAGAGCCGGCCAGGGTCCCCGGGTCCCGAGAGGCTGTGGCGTCCCGCTGGAGCCCTGGCCTCAGGCCTGCCCTGCAGGAAGCCACCCCGGCGCGCCCAGCGTCCTCAGCCGGGCCGCGACCCCCGCCCCCGCCGGCCCTCACCTCCTCAGCGTGCTTGCGCAGCGCCTTCTCCCGCTCGTACTGGGTGATGAGCTGCTCGTTGTCGTCCCGCAGCAGCTCCAGCTCCACCTGGTGCTCCTGGTCCTGCGCGAACACCGAGTCCAGGTTCTCCAGCACGGCCACCACCAGTGGCATTAGCTCCTTGACCACCTCCTCGTCGTAGCGCCCGATGAGCCGCTCGAACTCGCGGTAGATGGAGCCGGCCAGGCCGGACACCCGCTCTGACATCACGGCCCCGGAGCCTCCGGGCTCCTCCTGGTACACCACACCGTCCTCCAGCTCCATGGTGGCGGGCGGGCGGGCGGCCCCGGGCGTCGCCGGCTGAGGGGCGGCACGGGCCCGCACGGGACAGGCCCGGCAGAGGCAGGGGCTGGAGCTGGGCCCCGCGGGGTGGGGGCCCCGGCTGGCTGAGGAGGGGAGGGGTGGGGTGAGCGCACTCACCCCAACCGCTGCTGCACCAACTGCCGGGGCGGCCCGGCCGCGCGCGCTACGCGTCACCCGTGGGGCGGGGCCGGCGCCGCGTCGCCCCGGTGGGCGGGGCCCCGCGGGAGGCCAGGCGCGGCCGGGGGCGGAGCCTGGCGGCTGCGTGCGCCGGCTGTGACGCCAACACCCAGCGCCGTGTGGGCGGAGAGGCGAGAGGTGGAGGAAGTGACAGCCGGAGGCTGGGTTGGCTGCGCGTTCCCAGAGGAAAGGGAGGGGCTCTGGAGGGTGACAACTCTTTCCCGCTGAGAGAGCGAGCGCTTTCTTCGCTTTCCTGCAGCTCACACAGCGCCTACCAAGTGCGCCAGACGTTTGGCCTCTGTTTAACAGATAAAGGAACTAGGCCCAGGGAAGTTGTGGGTTTAGTCAAGGTCACGAAGCTAGAACGGGAAAGGGACGGAACCGAGACTCAACCAGTTCCTGCTGAGAATTCAGGAGTCATTTAACTGGAGAAAAAGAGAAGGAAACAACCGTAGCTAGGAGGACTGTCTAAAGGATAAGGTTGCCTCGAGTAAGATAGTATTGTTTGGCGTTAGGTCAGAGTAAGGACAGCCCTAATCAGAAGAGCAAAGCATCTGGAGAAGTGAAAATGAGTGGCTCTTGCCTTTTCCCAAACAGTAGGTGCTCCTGGCCTACGGAAAGCATTTCTAGGCTGCAGCCACCGCCCCGCCTCCCCTTTCTGATCTTAAAAGGGAAGGCGGGGCTGGTCAGTGAGAGACTGAGAAGCCGTGGAGGATATGGGGTGGAGTCAGTAGTGGGAATAAGTCCCATGATATGTGAGGTCACCCCGCCAGGGAGTGCGTCACTTGTGGGGAATGCCACAACACCCAAGCCCTGGGCGGGCTGAGTCAAAGACTGTTTCCCTGTATTCTCATCTCCCGTCCTCAAGTGTGGCGGAAGACGCTCCCAAAAGCCCCTTCGCTTTGCCATAGGTGACTCAAGAGTACACCGATTCCGACTCATCTAAAATTAAGGGAAGAAATGGACAGGATTTAAATAGACAGGTTACTAGGGAAAAAAACGGTCACCTCCTGGGGTCCTGTTTGGTGTTTTAGAAGTTCCAGATCATCCCCAAAGTCTCCCACTTTTTTGATCTTCCTGGAAACCAAGCAAAGCACTATGGAGGTTGAACCATTGCCAACTTGTAAACGCAGAACAAAGATGAAAACTGTCATCACTTAGTGTCTGTTCTGCCAATTTCTCTTAAACCACAACATCCTCCCCACCCTACCCCCCAACCCCCACCCCACCCCGAGAGCCACTACCTTTATTTTGTGATTTCTCTGTCTCCCTTTCTCACCTTTACCCTGTGTGTATGTCTAGGTTATAGGAATGCTGCCCAGCTAGTTGAGTGTGAGCCCAAAGTAGCCTCAGTTAAATTTTTTTAATTGTTTTTTATATGAACGAATGTTTTGGCCTGCGTGCATGTCTGAGAGCACCAAAGGTGTGCAGTGCCAGAAGAGGGTGTCATATCAGCTGGAACTGGAGTTTTAGCTGGTTGTGAGCCCCCATGTGTGTGCTGGGAATCACACCCGGGGTCCTCTGCAAGAGCAGCCAGCGCTCTCAACCAAGGAGCAGTCTCTCCAGGCTGCCTATCACCTCCCAATCTCACCTTGAAAACGAAAGAAATCTTGCTGTGAATATTCTCTCTCCCTTCCTTCCCCCTTCTTGAGTGGTATCACTCAGTCTTCATAAGTACCTCTAATTTCCTGGGAGTCAGAGATGAAAAACTTAGAGGAAGACTTATTTTGTTTTTCTACAATATTATTGTACACTTAAGAAAATTTAGAGAACGAGCTGGAGAGATGGCTCAGTGGTTAAGAGCACTGGCTGCTCTTCCATAGGTCCTGAGTTCAATTCCAGCAACCACATGGTGGCTCACAACCTTCTGTTTCCTTCCAATTTCCTCTTAACAAAAACAAAAGAAAGTTTAGAGAAAATGGTTGGTTTGGTTGGTTTTGTTTTTTTTTTTTTTTAATTTATTTATTTGTATTTTATATGCATTGGTATTGGTTACCTACATGTATGTCTGTACGAGAGTGTCATATCCCCTGGAACAGGAGTTACAGGAAGTTGTGAGCTGCCATCTGGGTGCTGGGAATTAAACCTGGGTCCTCCAAAAGAGCAGTCAGTGCTCTTAACCACTGAACAATCTCTCCTGCCCTGGTTTTGGTTTTTCAAAACAGGGTTTCTCTCTGTAGCCCTGGCTGCCCTGGAACTCACTCTGTAGACCAGGCTGGTCTTGAACTCACAGAGATCTGCCTGTCTCTGCCTCCTGAGTGCTGAAAATAAAGGCATGTGCCACTTTCTTTTCTTTCTTTCTTTCTTTCTTTTTTCTTTCTTTCTTTTTGGTGGAGGCGTGCCACAGACACACAAATGAAGGTCAGAGACAGTTTTTTCTTTCCACCATGTAAATCCCAGACATTCAACTCAGTCTAAGAGAAAAATCATAAGCTCCAGGCCAACCTGGATCATAAAGCAAAACCTTGCTTCAAAAAATAAAACTTAGGGATCAGTGAAATGGCTCAGCAGGGAGGGATGCCTGCCACCAAGTCTGGCTGGCTGAGTCCAATCCCAGATAGAAAGATAGAAAGAACCACCTCCCATAGTTGTCCTCTGGCCTTCACACCCCTGATGCAGCACACACATAAATAAAATGTAATTTTAGGGTTTTTTATTATTAATACAAGGGTAGGCTGGGGAGATTCCTCAATTGTTAAGACATGTACTGATCTCTAGAAAGAAAAAAGAAAAAAGTGAGTACTGCTCCTGCAGAAAACCCAGGTTTAGGCAGCTCAAAAGCACCTGTAACTCTAGCTCCAGGGAATCCAATAACCACTTCTGGACTCCAAGAGGCACTGGCATTCACACATAATTGAAAATATTAAAATAGAGCATGAGTAAAGGCCCATGCTACCAAGCCTGACAACTTGAATTTGATCACCAGTCTCATATGGTAGGAGAAAACCAACTCTTGAAAGTTCTTCTGTGACCTCCACATGTGCTGGCTTCCTAATAAGTAAAATTTTAAATTTTTTTTGTTTGTTTGTTTGTTTTGTTTTTGAGACAGGGTTTCTCTGTGTGGTCCTAGCTGTTATGAAACTCCCTCTTTAGTCCGGGCTAGCCTTGAAGTCACAGAAATCTGTCTCCCCAAGTGCTGGGATTAAAGGTGTGCACTATCACTGTGGGACTATATTTTTAATGAAATATTAAAATAAAAGATGGGGGAGATGGCCTATCAGAGTGCTTACTGGTTTTGCAGAGGCCCAAAGTTAGGTTCTCAGTACCCACAGCCAGCAGCTCACAACCACCTGTAACTCCAACTCCAAAGGACCTGACTCCTAGCCTCTGTGGGCACCTACATACATATGGTACACATACACTCAGCACACACATACATACACACTCACACAAACACACAGAGAAATTTTAAAAAAAAAACTGAAAATGAGCTGGGCACAGTGGCACACGCCTGTTATCCCAGCACGAAGGGAGGCAGAGGCAGGTAGATCTCTCTGAGTTCATGGCCAATCTTGTGTACAAAGTGAGTCCAGGACAGCCAACAGTTCACAGAGAAACCCTTTCTGGAAAAACAAACAAACAAACAAACAAACAAACAAACAAACACCTGAAAATGGGAGCTGGAGAGATGGTTCAGCAGATAAGAGCTCTAGTTGCTCTTCCAGAGGACCCAGAGTCAGTTCCCAGCACCCACATGGTGGCTCAGTTTCAGGTCATCTAGTTTCTTATTCTCTTCAGACACCAGGCACACTCATAATGCAGGTATATACATGCAGCAAAATACTTGTACATATCAATCTAAAAAAATTAACTGATGAATGGATAAAGTGTAATAAAGTGTGTAATGGAATAGTATTCAGCAATAAAGTACATGCTGCAACATGGATGAATCTTGAAAACACACACGAAGTGAAATATATGGTCCCACTCATAGAGCTGTCCATAATTGCGGAATTTAGAGACACAGTAAGTTAGAGCTTACCTAAAGCTGGGGGGCATGTGGTGTGATGATGATAAATGGGAGTGATCAATAATGGGTGTGGAATTTCCTTTGGGATAATGAAAATGTTCTAAAATTGAAGTGATGCATGACTTTGCCAATATACTAAAAGGCATTCTAGTCTGCACTTAAATTGTATAGTATATGAAAAATATCTCAACAAAGCCAATAAATGAAGCCAAGTGTGGTGGCTCATGTCTGTAATACCAGCACTGCGGAAACGGAGACATAACCAATTGCCAGCATTTCAAGAAATAAATAATACTATGAATTTAGGGACAAGTAGATCCAGTGGAACCACATAACCTGCCGTAAGAGAGCTGAAAGAAAATGGTTTTGAAGTTGCTCGTGAACAACTTTGGTGGTGGTGGGAACCAACTGTTATTGACTTAACCACCTACTGGGCCCAAGTTCCCACAGTAAAGACTAGTGAGCCTAGATTTATTGGTAGAATATTGGGGTTTGTTAAAGACTGCGGTTTTCCTTCCATCTAACACTCTGATCTGGGGGCCAGCAAGATAGGTCGGTGAGTAAAGACATCGCTGTCAGGCTTGATGCTGTTCATTCGATCCCCAGCACACACATGGAAGCAGCGAGGCTGCTCACACAAGCTGTCTTTTGACTTCTGTGCACACACACTGTGGCACTTTCCCACTCACACATATACATACACAATAAATACAATTTAAAAATTAAAATTATAAAGCCGAGCATGGTGGTGGTGCCTAAGTTTAATCCCAGCACTCAGGAGGCAGAGGCAGGTCGATCTCTGTGAGTTTGAGGCCAGCCTGGTCTATAAAACAAGTTTAAAAGCAACCGGAGCTAACCCTAGAAAAAAAAAATGAAAAAAGCTGGTTACAGTGGTGCAGGCCTTTAATCCCAGCATTCAGGGAGGCAGAGGTAGGTGGAGCGCTGTGAGTCAAGGTCAGCCTGGTCTACAAAGTGAGTCTAGGACAGCCA